GCATGGTGGCGCATGCCTGGAGTCCCAGCTACTTGGGAGGCTGAGGCAGGAGGATCGCCGGAGCCCAGGAGTTTGAGGTTGCTGTGAGCTAAGATGACGCCACGGCACTCTAGCTGGGGCAACACAGTGAGACTCTGTCTCAAAAAAAAAAAGATTCCTGACATTGTCACGGTCGCTGTGCAAGTAGGAAATGGCATGGACACAGGGGAGGCCCAAGAGGGTAAATGACAGGGTTGCCAGGTGGGTGGCAGTAGGGGATCCCCGCAGGACCACAGGGGGTGCTGGGTGTGGCCTGCATTCGGGTTTAAGGAGGACCAGGCCGGGAAGTCGGAATGAGCCGAACCCCCCGTGGCTGGCACAGAGCTGGGCCGAGACTGCTGGACCAGCAGTGGGACCCCAAGGGGGACTTTATGTCCCTCTGAGCACAAAACGAGGTCCCCTGAGCTCCACAAATAGAGACACGTATGCTCCTCCCCAGAATGGTCTCCCCGTCCCCGCAAAAGCCGAGGAAACCAGCGCAGACGCCGTGGAGCCCTTTTTTTTCCTTTTTATTGGCAAAGTAAATATTTTTACGAAGGACCAAAGAAAATATACATAATTGTAACATATGTACACTGGCTTTATAGATTTTTTTTTAATTTTCAATTTTCCCCAATTTTGGCCTTTTTTTTAAAGGTTTCTCACGTAGATGTACCTATGTACAGTTTATTTACATACATTCATAGGATGTGAAATAAACCTGCCAAGACAAGCTAGCTCATTCGAGATTAATTTCTAGACAGAGGAAGGAATGCATCTCTAAATCGGGGCGCACGGGGAGGGGGGGCTCTATCTAGTCCTTCCGCAACCGGCCAGCCGGGAAGGTGCCCTGGAGGCTGGCCTCCGGATTTGTCTGGGTCACCGGAGCAGAGGCCAGCCACGCCGGGCACGGACCCTGCGGCTCTGTCTGTCTGTCTGTCTGTCCCGCACGCTTTAGCAAATGCACTTGCAGCACCCAACGGGGGACACTTTCCGGCTCTCCCAGCGCCGGGCCCCCGAGGCCCTGCCCATGGCTCCTGGTGATCACGCTGGAGGAGGACCGAGGGGCTCTCATAGGACAGCGCAAGTCTGGACTCTGGCCTACTTCCTTCTCCGCCAGCGCGGCTCCCTCTGGGAAGGCGACATTTCAAAAGCGCACGTTGCATTGTCCCGGGCAACCATGGGCTGGCGTTGGCCCCGCTGGGGAGCCCAGTGGGAGGTGGGCCAGGCCCCCCCAAAACCCTTTCTCCGATCAGCTGCTGCAGCGCGGAAGGGAGGCGCCGCGAAGGCACCAAGGCCTCCCCCAGCCCCGTGCGCCCCAGCCCCGTGCGCCCAGCCCCCAGGGGCGCAGCGGGGCTGAAGCTCCCCCAAGAAAGGCAGCAGGGTGGCGGGCTCCGGGTGCAGAAGGTGGGCTGGTGACATCGCCACGCTCTTCCGGAAGTGGCGCATTATTGCGATCCTCCCCAAAAGAAGACAGACGGGGGCGGGGCCGGCGGCGCGCTCAGTTGGCGGCGCGCACCGAGCGGCTGCTGCGCGGGAAGCGGTGCACCTTGACGTGCTTGGAGAGGTGGTCGCTGCGCGCGAACTTCTTCTCGCACACGGGGCACTGGTACGGCTTCACGCCCGAGTGCGAGCGCCGGTGCCGGGACAGCTCGTCGGAGCGCGAGAACCTGCGGGACACGCGGGGGTCAGCCTGTCG